TGCACACTGAAGTTTGAGAACCACTTGGCTAGTATAAAAATGGGATGCAGGGGTGGTAATCAGTGAGCCTGTATATCTGGGCCCATTGACAAAACCTTCTCTAGTGTGAAAAGGATGCATCAACAATATTAGCCTGAGTCTATTAAATATCTGATTCACCTAACACCCCATCTTCAAGCAACTTTCTGTTTATAATTTGGCATAAGATGTGTCCCTTCCCTATAACGGTAATTTTTCATCATAAATTAGTAAAGCATCTTTGGATTGTGATTTAGCTCCCCATATGGCTTGGCTTGACTAGGAGAGGAAGCAAGTGTTCTAGAGTATTCCGTGTTAAATTAAAAATGCACTAAAGAGGCCGGCCCTGTGGCGTAGTGGTTAAGTTTGGCATGTTCTGCTTCAGCGGCCCAGGTTCACGAGTTTGGATCCCAGGTGCAGACCTATGCCACTCATCAGCCATGCTGTGGCAGCAACCTACATATAAAGTAGAGGAAGACTGGCACAGATGTTAGCTCAGGGCTAATCTTCCTCACCAAAAGCAAACAACAACAACACTATAATGTGTTTGCCTGGACCTCACATATTTTAATAAGTGTAAGTCTATCAGAGTCTTCATTCCTGGTTGTTGACTTGGGTAATCTTGGGCCTTCAAAACAAAACCCAAGGGAAGCCCTAATTAGTTCCCATCAACCCACTGTAACATTTACACTTTTCTCCCTCTCCTGCTCAACCTCTTTGTTTCTACTTTTATGTGTGAGAGATTGAGAGGACCCAAGGTTTTCTTTGTATGCTATTGCTAAGTTCTCTACCTAGTGTTTTTATTATATTTATTGATTTTTCTAATTATAAAAGTAATACACTTAGAAAATATTTTAAATATGTAAAGCAAATAGAAATCACTTTTAATGTGACAACTCTGAGAGAAAATACTTTCCAAAAAAAGATTATATATTTTCCTTCTTTCTCCCCATTCCCCCCAGCTAAGAGCAAATCAGTCCCCTTGTTATATTTTCTCCTGATATTATGTACATTTCCATTATAGAATTTGCCACAAATTCAGTTAAATTTTTTGTGTGGTTATCAGCTTAATATCTGTCTCTTGCACTAGACTATAAGTCTAGTGACCAGTTAGGGACCTTGTTTATTTTGTCCATCATTTGTATTATCCCCAACACCTGGTATTTAGGAGCTGCACAACAAATAACTAAGTAAATATATTGAGCTTATTAAATTGGAATATGTTTTGCTGGCTATGATGGAGCTGAACTAAATATAATACTATATCACCATCCTTCCCAATAAAATTGAGAAGAAAGATAAATTGCAAGAGATACCACATATGAAATTGTTCCTAAGTCTGTCGTCGTATTTTCCTAACTTTAGTATTTACTGATTCCTAATGCTTCATTCAGTTATGCCTCCATCATGAATTCACCATGCTGCAAGGCAAGCAGTAGAGAGGGAGACAAAGCAAACTAGATGACAAGTACCATAAAAGGAAATACTATGAAAACAGCAAAGGGAATAACTAACAGTAACTGCCTGAAAGGGTATTATTGCATTTTTGTCCACCAGACAATGAATGGGAAGTCTTTTTGCCATTTGCTAGGGTTTACCTGTTGAAACACAAATAGTAAAAATAATTAAATGATCTTTTTCATTTCAGTTCTCAAATTTGCCCTTGAGTTATAAATATTTTTCTAGACCTACTTATTTAATCCACTAGAGGGCAATAAACCCTTAAATAAAGACAATTGAACCAATCTTCCTTTAAAAATATAACAATTAATGCTTGCACAATTAATTTAGAAATTAATCCCCACGTATCTCCGCTATATAAGTTTTTCATTTATTGATGATTTGTCTGCCCAATTAGACAGTAAGCATTTTAGGACAGGAAGTATCTTATTTTTCATTGTTTTCCTCACAACACTTAGCACAGTGTCCTAGTCATCTTACAGGTTTAATCCATTTCCTGAAGTTTGAATTTGATAACAATTGTGTAAAGAATATGATTTGATGAATGTCTGCATAGTTGTGGTACAATATAAAATTCTATTTTAGAGCCCTAAAGAAGATAATCTTTGCTCATAATATGACCACAATTAAGGAAAAAAAATTGAAAATGAGGATAAAATGTAAATAATGATTAAGTTTTAAGTAAGGTGCTATATATGAAACTACTCTATGCACTCTAATGCATATACAAATATAAAATTACTTTATGATTTGGTAAAATTGTGTTTTATATTTAATGGTATATGGCAAAACTATCTTAGGAAGAAGAAAGCTGAAAATTTGGAAGAAAGATAATAGCTGAAGTTCAGATTGACAATTTTTGAACTTGGCACTGGGAATATAAAAAGCTGGTCCTTCTACGATCTTACTCTGGTTCCAGAAAAACATCTATTAAACAGATAAGTTTACTATAATGTGGTAAGTGATAAATTAAGAAGTAGGGTCACTTAGCCTGGGAAACCTTCCTGGGGATGAGGACTCCTGAGAAGGACCTTAAAGAATAAGCATTAGCCAGGAGAGTGAAAGAAAATTTTTAGACAGAAGGAAGAGTGAAAACAAGCAAAGGCACAGAAATATGAAACGTATTGTGGTAGGGGGTGTTTGGGGATGGAGAGGGGAACAAAGAACAACTCAGATTACTTTTGTGTTCTTGTTAGCTGGTGCATAAAGAACAAGGAAGAGAATCAAGAGAAAAGTCATTAGGGAGAATAAAACCAAATAGAATAGAATAGACACAGAAAACAAATGGTAGGACTATAGAAATGCAGTAGCATAAGATGTAGGAAAAATAAAAGCCATCCTCTTTTAGTTAATAGAGAAAGGCTTTCTTAAGTGGACTTTAAATGAAAAAGGAGGAAAATCCTATAATATGGCATATACCTACTCTGATAAAAATTTTCTTAAATTGCAAGATTTTGCTTATAGTTTTCATTTATTCAATGACTTGAGAACTTACTAGGTGCCAAGCACTGGGGCTATAGTAGAGCACAAGATTGATTGATTGATAGGTAGGTAGGTAGGTGGGTAGATAGATAGATAGATAGATAGATAGATGCCTGTCTTCATGAAACTTTCAGACTAATGGAAGTAGAACAAACAAAAATATATCAGATGATATATGCATTTTCATGGTTGCATATATCATAAGCATGATTAGTACCATGAAGGAATACAATATGTGATATAGGATCTAAGAGGAAGGGAGTGTCTACTTTGAAATAAAGTGGGGCTCTCTGAGGGGTAACATTAAAGATTGAAGGATGAAATGAGCCAGCTATTTGAAGAACTAAGGGAAGAACATTCTAGGCAAAGAGAAAGGTAAGCAGAAAAGCCCAAGAAGAGAAATTGTCTGGTGTATTTGAGGAGCAGAGAGAAGGCTAGCATGGCTTGAGGTGCATTGATTAAGGGAGAGTGTGGTCCAAAGTGAGGTCAAGGAGGTGGGGCTAGATGACCTAGGGCCTCACAAGCCATGGTAAAGAATTGAGGCTTCATTCTAAATAGCGAGATTTTAAGCAGGTAAGAGATGACATTTTCAGGAGGGAGCTTTGCACTATTTTATCTCCCCTTGCTCGTGAGTAGGTGTACCACTATGTTACACCCTACCCCAAACTGGAGTTTAGAGGAGATGAAGAGGGAAGGTGCCTTTGCTGACATACATCCATCATTTGTTGAGTTGGCAAGGAACTTCAGGTTAGTAGCACTGATAATGGCAATGTTCTGTGACCCTTCTTTCTGCCTTCCCCTTGTATCCTATGTCACCTACTCTACCTCATCCTTAGACATTGCCAGGTGACCTAAGATGACAACCAAATCTAGGAATACGTATTTGCGTTTGGTAGAACCTTATTAGTCATGTATACCCAAGGGTCTCAAAACAAAGATAACAACAAAGAATTAGGCAGGATTAGATTTTTTATTTTTTCTGTGCTCCCTTTAATAACATAGATTAGTGCTTGATATAAATCTGTTTATCTTTCATCTTTGCAAATTTCTATCTTACTGCCTTAGGGGGCAAGATTTTATTTTCACAGAAATATTATTTTGATTGATGAACAGGATTAGTGTCACTTTTAGATCTCCTTTCCATAGTCACCACATTTCTCAAGTTATGATCATTGTTAGGTAGAGCTATACCTAAAAGATTCTATTAAGATTCTTTAAACCGAAAACTTCTACTTTGTCAAAATTTGTTGATGCCAATCTCAGAAACAGTTCCATCCATTTTCAGAAATTGAAAGCTTTTGCCATGTGTTTACAAATGAAAATTTATTCATTGTTATAGCTTTATCTTAAACATGTACAGAGACTTTTATTTCAGCACATTTGTATTATGCTGTAAATAAGCTAATCAATTTTTAAATTTTGATAAGCCAACATTTGAATTTTAAAAAGAAAGTATAAAAGAAGAGAACATTGCTGTTTTATTGTTTTAATTCTCTGATGTGTTTTATTACAAGGACCCTAATGCACTTTGAACTCTCCTTTGACCACGTAACATTTTGATTTTTCTCTTTGCAAAATCTCAATTGTCTTTTGTTTTCTCTTCAAGCTATGTACAAATGTGCACACGGAAATCTAATAAAGTGATTTTTTTGGCTAAAAAGAACCATTTTCCACCCATTTAGTTTCTTTAGAAGATTCACGTAAGTTCACTTAAGTTCCTTTCTATTAATGGTAGAAACAGGTTCTATATAGCTATTCTTATAAAGATGCGAAAAAAGCGAAAGATAGTCTTTCTTGAATTACTGGGATGGAGCATTTATTCAAAAACAGAATGTTTGTTTGAGCTACTGTTTTAAATTTTATTTTCTTACTACCAATACTTTTAATTAAGCAGAAAAAGAAAATTAGTTTTTTGATACATTGACACTTACTACAAAAGACATCTGTTGGCTTTGCAGTGGAAGTTAATTGGTTTTCCTGAGAAGTAGGTTATGCACATACAATTAAAAATTTGCCATTCACCCCATGGCTATTTTGTTTTGCAGGCCACAGTGAGAACACATGAGTAGAAGAAGAAAATTTCTTCTTGCCTCAGTTCTTGCTCTCCAGAATTCGAGTTTTATATATCCTTCATGTGAGAAGTGCCTCTCTCGGGTACTCCTGGTCTCCAAAAGGTAAAAGTAAAGCCTGTAAGCGTGAGAGAGGAAATACAAGTGTATGCTGTAGATTTCCTAAGGCTCAAGAGCAAGTAGGATTAAATTCACCATACCAAGACATAAGATTCTCCTGGGTTGGTTCTTCTGTAAATCCTAGAATAGGATTGGCTGCTAATCCTCTATTACTAGAGGGAAGTTTCAAGTTACCTCTTTAAGTCTTTGCTAAGTACCTGCTTCAGAGAAGAAAAATAACTTCTTGGAGAGTAAGTCCCAATCCTGGTGCAAAAACTTAGCCCAATTCTGCCATATGCCTGGAAATAGTATAGGGGTTTTGTTTGTTTTCAGTTGATTTTTGCATGATCCCCAGATTATTTTTTTAAATAAATAAACTCCTTGAGAACTGGGACTATGTTAAGGTAATCTCTGTATTCGTCAGCAGCTTGAACAGGGCTTGGCACATAACACTTTATTATGGTGCTGAGACGCAGGCCAAGTATACCCGAGAGCCTAAGATTCTTCTCTGATCTTTATGGAGTATAAGTGAGGGGTTAGGATTGGAGTTCCTTAAGAACACTTTCTCTCTGCCTGGAGAAGAAGATAAAGATGTCTAGTAAGTACCTGGTAGTGTGTAAGAGTAGTATGCCAGCAATATTCTGAACTAGTCTTTTTGTCTCATTAGCATTGCATAAGGAGGAGTTGGCAGTTCCAACCCACATCTAGACTCTAAGTCATCTTTCCAGTAGTTATCCATGTTCCTTTATGAAAACATTCTCTCAAGTACTGATTTGTAAACTCTGAGAGAAAGACCCTTTTTGTATTTTTCATCATTAAATCTTCAGCATTCAGCCTAGGGTCTAGTTCATAGAAAATACACAACAAATGTTTGTTAAATGAATGAATAAATGACAATGTGGTAGTGTCTTAGGTTCACCCATTTTCAGATTTCTACCTGTTATTTGAAAAAACTAAAACCCAGGGGCTATTTGCCTTTGATTAGGATCTATTCTTAAAAGCAATGTGGTGTAATGGAATGATTTCAAGCTTCAGAGAACACAACAGGATTGCATATATGCTCTGACACTTGCTAACTGTATGATCTTGGGCAAGATACTTAACTTCTGTGAATTTAATTACTCATTTCTAACGTGAGATAATAATACCCATAATGTGAGATAATGTAGAGTTAGAGATAGCGACAATACGTGACATGTATTAGGATTTCCAAAATGGTAGCTGTTATTATTACAAATCTATTACAAGCATACTTTACTTATTGCAGTATATCATGGTGATTAAAAAGCATAATTCTCTGGAGCCAAACTGCCTGCATTCAAATCCCAACCCTGCTGTTTATAGCTGTGTCGATTTGCGCAAGTCACTTAGATTATCTGGGCCTCAAAGTGGGGAAAGTAATATCTGCCTAATAGGGTTGTTGTAAGGATCTAAGGGGTTAATATACATGAAATGCTTAGAACACTGTGTGATATATAATCAGTAATATATAGACGTGAAATATTTTTAAAAGTCTGGATTTTTTCCCGAGTCATTTCTTTCTCTTTTATTTTGTGAGGAAGATTAGCCCTGAGCTAACATCTGTTGCCAATCCTCCTCCTTTTGCTGAGGAAGATTGGCCCTGGGCTAACATCCGAGCCCATCTTCCTCTACTTTACATGGGACACCACCACAGCATGGCCTGATAAACGGTGCGTCAGTTCGAGCCTGGGATCCGAACTGGCAAACCCCCAACCGCCGAAGCGGAGCGCACGTGAACTTAACAGCTACACAACCGGGCAGCCCCGCAAGTCATTTCTTTTAAAGACAATCTGCAACAAAAATTGAGGTTGGATAATACTGCCATTGTTACCTCTGTAGACATAATAACAATAGATAACATGAATGAATGTTTACTGTATGCTAGGAGCTTTGTAATCATTTTATCTTTTAATACAACAGTCCTATGAGGTAATGCTATTGGTAATGCCAACCGTCAAAGGAGAAAATTAAAGCTTAGAAAAGTTCAGTAACTTGCCCCAAATCACACGGCCTGCTAGTTAGTGGCAGAAACATAGTTAACTTTAAACAATCTGGCTGCTGTCTACATTCATAATCACTACGTTGCCTCCAGATTAGCAGTGGAATTTGTATCCAGAATGACATCTCCCTCTCTCTTTCCCAGAGTTTAAGATGCCCCAGGAAAGGGAAGCTCTGACTGGACCTTTAAGTACATGAAACCCACAGCACTTGGTCCTTGCCTGTGGAAACATAGTCCACAGAAATATAACCTATTCTCTCTATATATTACATTGACAATACACAAAAAAAATCTATCCCCATAATTTCTGGTGCTTATCTTTTCTGTTATTTCTGTTTTCCTTTTTTATAACTTGGAGTCACTTGTAAGCCAAGACAGGAAACAGAAATTCCTCACCTTCATTTTCCCACTGCTACAGCACAACAAGTTTATGACAGAGGAAGTCCATACTCTATCCTTTACAGAAGATTTTAGAGACACGGAAGAGCAAAAAGACTTCTGTCTAAAGATTTTCATTGAACCCTAAATTCTTAGCAATGACAACCATAATAGATGTTTTTTGTTTTATGGAGTTAACTTTTTTCCTTTTTTAACCTCCAAGGTTAGAGCAGTGGTGGTTTTCAAATTACATTCTGCAGAGCCTTAGGGCTCCATGGAAGTGCTTCTAGAGGGAGGTAGGGATTAGAGAAGTAGTAGTGGATGTTAGAGAAGTAATAGTGGGTAGGACTCTGGGGCCCCCACTTTGGTTTCAAGAAAAGCTCCATTGAAAGCTCTTGTTGAAAGAGTTCCAAGTTAGATTTCATTTGAAAAGGGATTCCATGATATAAAGATATAGACATACAAATATAAAAAATATGTGTATAAGAAGTTAGTTTGGTCCTTCGTATGAGAAGATTATCATATTTGGGTAATATTATATGAATGGATTGGCACAGATCCATCCTCAGAGTGCCAAAAAAAGTAGCACAGATCTAATGATGGTGAATCAGCAACTTCTTGTATGAAGGATTAACCTTGGTTCAAAATAGTTACCTTTTGAGCTATGGATTTTAGGCTCCCCCTAGTGGCTATCTGGCAGCAATCAAATTTATGCAACTATCTTCAACATTATTTTCTGTTTGCATTTTGCCACTCTTTTTTGTGTGTGTGAGGAAGATTAGCCCTGAGCTCACTTCTGTTGCCAATCCTCCTCTTTTTGCTGAGGAAGATTGGCCCTAGACTAACATCTGTGCCCATCTTCCTATACTTGATATAGGATGCCACCACAGCATGGCTTGATAAGCAGTGTGTCGGTCCGTGCCCGGGATCCGAACCCACAAACCCCTGGCCGCCAAAGTGGAGTGTGTGAACTTAACTGCTACGCCACCGATCCAGTCCCTTGCCACTCATGTTTAAGCCAGATCGTTAGTGACATGAAGAAAAAGTAAAGTCCTAGGATTAACCATTACCATAAGGTGTTTTAAGGAGTTAGTTTGCTAAATTAAGAGCGTGAAAGATGGATATCAGAGTTATGAGATATTGCAAACAACTAGAAAGATGGGAAACACTAAGTAGAAGTGACAGTAATCATTACAATATTTAATATAATTGTATGAGAGAAGCAGACTCACATTTATTAATTTGTAAAGATCTGCACTAGATCCTTTCTTTACTTTCTTTTCTTATACTTTGTCTCATTTTATCCTTCTTTAACCCTGGATTTTACAGATGAGGAAATTAAGGTTTAAGGAATTTAGTAATTATCCCAAGCCCAAACAGCTAGTACATAACAGTGGAGTTACACTTGACACAGTAGTTTTTGACAAGATAGCCTTTGGTCATAATTACATATTGGCTTAAAAACAAGTTAAACAAAATGTTTCATACCTAGTTTCTGTATTCTAGTAAATTTTCAGCATATTCCAATGAATTAAAGAAAGTAAAGTTATTCTTATAATGGTGAGAACAATATAACTAGGTACTTGGTGTATAAATGTTTCAAGATTATTCATTATTCTCATAACAGATATTGTTCTCTTAACAGAGGGTAGACATTAAATTTCAGATCTTCTGTTGGTGTGGTGCTCACTGCATTATATTTAGTTTGCCCCCCAACCCCAGACTATAATATGCCTCGATTTGTAAATGATGGTTTAGCTACCCAAGAAGATCTCTCTCTGTCTCACACGCACGCACACACGTACACACAGTTTTCCTTCAGTTTTCTATTAATTTGGTGCTACTTAATTTAAATCAGTAAATGTAGCTGTTATAAATAGAGAAATTCAAAAGAGGTTGATCTGAAATAGTTCAAGAAGAATATAAGTTGTATAGGTACATTTGTACACAAAATGCTATTTTTAATCTTTACTTTTCTAGATTTGTTTTTCATCATATGAAAAAAAATTAATGAACATCTCTACACCTTTTTTCCTCTGCTTTTCCAGATCTAATTGTCCAAAATGTGGCTCTACTGGTGAAGCTGAAAATGCCAGTTACAGATATAAACTTTCCTTAAAAGTTGCGGAATCAAACAAATTATTTGGCATTACTGTATTTGGAAGCTGCTTAGATGCATTTTTTGGTCTTACAGCCACTGGTTTGCACAGGTAAGAACATTTAAAGCATTCTTTTTCCTAGCTACAACTTTGGTATATCAATAGAATTTGAAGATATGTGTTTTTAAGGTAATATGCATTTAGTAAAAAGATGATCACTCAATCTCAGATCCTCAGTTCCTCTAAAAAATAATCAGATGAGAAATAGAAAGACGTTTATTTCCTGAATACATATTGTGATGTTAAACCAGGCTCCTTTTATTCAGGCCAACCGACTAAGCTGTAATTAGAACATTAAATTATAAAACTCTAATCGAGGTTAGAGAAATATAGAATAAAAAAGTAAAATTTCAACTGAAGGGTTATCCAAATTGAGGTTAGCATTCAAGTGACTAAGGTCCCTTGAGACTGAAGAAGCTATTTGTGAGAATATTTGCATATCAGATGTTGAAATTTTGTGATTTCTCTCACTTGCATTGCAACTTCATCTGCATAGTTTGACCTATTATGATGTTGTCCTGAGAACTGCAAGGATATATAATAAGCAATTGAAGGTTTATCTCCCTCTCAGTCTTCTACCCTCCCCCTAATCACTTGACAGAAAAAATCTCTGTCCCTCTCCTTGTAGTTGAGAGCAAACTGATTAGAAGAAAGGGACAGCAGAGAGACCACAGGTAGGATTGCCGGGGAAAAGGAAAGACTTCCCTCTGCTTTGAAGAGAAGGGCCAGAGATCCCACCATTACTGCCACTGCCACTTTTAGAATAATTGTTGGGCCTGATTCCTAGGCAGGCATCTACTTTATTCGTACTTGATCAATTGTTTTTGTCTTTCTAGGCTATGGGAGACTAGAGGGCACAAAATGCCTAGCTCTTAAAGTCACTTTTTTTCTCTGTATGTAACTCAAAAATTTCATGCCGCAGTTTCGAACTAATTGTTTGTGTCTTCTGACTTTATGGCAAATTAAAACTTCAAAGCTTATCTCTTGACGTTTTTTATTTTCTTTCCAATCAAGGTACATTCAGGATCCTAATGAAATTCCACAAACACTGGACAGTAATACAACTCAGAACCTATTAACTAAAGCAGTGGAAACTTGCTTTGTTGGACAAAGCTTTATTTTTGGAGTTACGGTAATTGAGACTAGCTTTCTCTTTCATATTCTGTTAATATTTCCATCGTGATGAAATGATTTGAATTCTCTAAATAGTTTTTAGGTGTCATAAATGCGAAAGCCTGCAGAAGCACTTTAAACTATAAAAATAGGCCATAGATGATCTGTTAACATCATGTGTGACAACTTCCTCTTTCAAAAGTCAGAAGAGCCTAGTTTAAATGCTTTCAGAGCTTTAAAAAATCCAATTTCATTATAAATTCAGAGTGTTAGATATTTTGTTTTGATATTTGGTGTTTATTTTACCCTTCAAACTTTGTTCAAATTCTGTAGTAAAACTTTTCATCAACTCTCTAGCTTTTTAATTTTATCATCTATAAAAGGAGAAGGCGGGAACTAACACTGAAGGCAAAGTATCTGAGTATTGATAACTCTAAGAATAGGTTAGGAAGTATGGTCTTAAATAATGATAAAAGTGATGGTAGAAGAAGTTAAAAAAATGTACTGACTGAAGGAGTAATCATTTTCTGTCTTGTCTATGCTCAAGGGAACAAATGGAAATTTTGTCCATGTCGGAATCAGGGTTTTAAAAAGGGGAATAGACAACTCTAGCTGCAACTGAACAGTGAGAAAAACCCAAAAGGAAGGTGAAACCAGGAGCTACAGAGCTTTTCTCTGTCAAAATTTTAGATAGTTCTTTCTCTTTTTCTTTCTTTTTTTTTTTTTTTAACAAGTGAGAACATTCCCTTAAACCCTTAAAGTTTATGGACGCTAATGAGAAATATAATCATAGCCACCATTTATTGAGCAACTACTATTTGCTAAGCACTGCAATTTTCTGTGTTATTACTCATACAATAATCCTGCATTTTTATCCCTATTTTATATATGAGAAAACTAAGGCTCAGAGACGTTAAATAACTTGTAAAAAGTCCCAACACTAGTAAATGTTAGAACCAGGATTTGAAGACAAGTCTCTTTACTCCAAGGTTTACTTCTCTTATTTCTGCTACTTTGCCTGTAACACTAGAGGAATTGAAATTTGGGGGTGGGGTTATAGTTGTATCTGTTTTAACCTTTTAAATCCCTGTTTCTCATTGGAATCAAAGGAAGACAATTTTATTCTCATTTAAATTCATTTACTTCTTTCATAGAATTTTGAAAACCAACATGGACAAGGTTCAGATTCTTATAACTTCTTACGTCAGTGCCCTGACCGCAGGACAGAAGTTAAAGCACTAGTAGCTTGCCAGATGGTTCTACCAGACCCAGGTGTTGCAGGCTTCACTGTCATTGACTATTTCCATCAGCTTTTGCGGCTTTCTGATTTCAGGAACCTTCACAGTGGCTACCAGACACCTAATAGCCACTTACTTGCTCTAGAACACTCAAGTAGTGATCTGAGCAACATATGTGGCCCTGACAGCAGTTCTTGTTTTTTTGAGTCACATGGCAGAGATAGTTTTTCAAGATTCTGGCAGCCATCACTTGAACTCACTTCCATTGTTTCACAACTAACAGAAGATGATGATTTTTCAGCTTCAGAACAAAGCAAGGCCATTGATACTCTTCACCAGAACAGAAAGTGCATCTCCTTTGCAGAGGCCACTGCTTCCAATAGCTGCCCTGATGCCATTCAAGGTTCATGGACCCTTGTTTCATATATGGATAAAAACAGTACAGCACAAAAGTTGGGTGAAGAACTTGGCTTACAAGCTAATCAGCCAAGTGCAGTTCACAGCAGTCATCATGAAATTGAAGTTACTGACTCTAATTTATTCTCTTTGAAAATGCGAGAGCCCCTTGAGCCAAGTAATACAAAATCCTTCCACAGTGCAGTGGAAGTTAAAAATAGATATTCCCAGCGTAGGCTAACATGTCACCGGCGTCAGGATGTGGATACCCACCCTAGCCTTCAGGAGAGATCTACATGTTGTCCACCTTCATCACTCAGGCTTGAAGAGATAGCTGGTGCTTCCCAGGATTGTGACCCCGAGATTTGGGATGATCTGCCGTTCTCTGAAAGCTTAAACAAGTTTCTGGCAGTTATCGAAAATGAGATTGCTGTAATTCAGACAGATGCCAGTAGTAGGAAACATCATCTAGATAACGACATTGATAAATTACATGCAGACCACAGCAGGTTATATCTGACTCCCCAGAGAACTACTGGAACCTTGCATACACCACCTGTAGCTTTAAGATTATCACAAACAACAGTCAAAGCAAACTCTGGTAAAGATAACTTCCTTTCCAACTGTGAAACAAATTCAAGTACTAGTGTTCAAGAGGAGTCACAACCAGATAACACAGCAGAGGCTGTTTCTATAAGTAGTAGTGGAAGAGATATCTCCGAATATTTTCTACCAAACGCTTGTCTGTCAGCTCTGTTTCCATCTTCAAAAGGTTTAAGAACAACAGTTTCTCTTAAGAAGTCTGCCAGAATTCTACCACATAGGGCTGAAATTTCACTTAAGCTCAGTACTTCAGAGAGGGACCATTCTTGTCTCAATATCAAATATTTTAATGGATGTGGAGAAAAATCACTTTCAGAAATGAGTGAGAAATTGACAACTTTGTGTTCTAGGAGATATAATGATGTTTCTGACCTTTGCAACTTAGGAAATAAACAATATAGTAGGTGGCCAAAGAACCAAGGTGACAGTTTTACAATTTGCAGGAAACTTACGTATCCCTTAGAAGCTCTTTGCAGTAGTCCGAATAGAAGTACAAACACATTGAAAGAAATCTCTTATGGACATATGAATAATAACTTCACACAGAACTATTCTCCTGGTCTTGAGGGTAGCTACAATGCTTCTGCTGATCTCTTTGATGATAGTGCTAAAGAAATGGACTTGGCAACAGAAATTACCAAAAAATCACAGGGTATTTTGTTACAACGGGGAAAATCTTTGGCAGAAAGTCATCATACAGAATCTGATTTGTCGCTGAGATCACATTCTGAAAACTCCAGCCAGTCTTCACAAAAATTTTCCTTGCAAAACATGTCTGTCTCTCTGTATCCAAGAACATGCTCTTCACCTCGTTTTCAGTCAGATTCAGAATGTGATTTTGAAGATAGCCAAGACTTTGTTCCATGTTCACAGTCAACTCCAGTTGCAGGATTCCACCAAACAAGAATTCAAGGGATGGAAGGAGCTTTCAAAAAATTACCTGCCTTTTATTCAGATCTTGATGCTAACTATAAAAAAACAAGAATTTCCTCTGAAAATGATGCACAGCAAGCCACCCCTAGCTGTCCAAAAAATATAAAAACACCCAGCCAAAAATCCAGAAGCCCTATTATATCTGATATTACACAACCAGAGGTTTTCAACAACTGTCCTATTGCTGAGTGCCTGGAGACTGACGTTGATGAATGGGTCCCTCCTACCACAAAAAAAGTATTTCTTTCAGATATGCTTGGATTCCAAGCCATAGGTCTAAGGAAATGCCGTGCTGCCTGTAATTCTCCTGATGAAAAAGAATTACTAAGAAAGAAACTGAAATACGTCAAACGAAAAACTGATAAATGTTTAATTAAGAAGGGGTTAAATTTAAAGAATATGCTTACAACAGTAGTTACAAAACAGAAAACTCATAACTATAACAGTCCAAGTTCAGGCTGGATTTCCAAAGAGTCAGTCTTGGGACTTGGTTCTTGTTCAGAAATCAAATGTTGCCTTCCATTTTCAGAAAATTGCCCATCTTCAGCACCTGAAACTAAAAGTGCTTGGTCTCCTGAACTGTTTTCATAAAAAGTTACCTGAACCCAATTGCTGAACTTTAAAAAGTAAGTCTGTTTAGAAACGTTTGCCTCCAGTGGCACGGAAAGTATTCTTACCATTTTGAACACTAGAAGAGATGCAAATAGAAAAGAGGTGCTATTGTGCATTTTATAATGTTGTAAAGCCATTGTTTTTCCCAATGTTTTATCCAGAATACTCTGATTCAGATAATTTGGCACTTTATCTTATATTGTTGATTGTACTTTAGTAATATTGTTAATTTTGCTTGTTAAAAGTATTTGTTAGAATCACATGTACGTTCAGAAATAAAGCCTTTGCAAACCAAAACTTAATGTCTTTCTTATTTGTTCAGCTCAGCTGAGAAAATGCCTGCTATGTATTAGGCCAACTACTGTGCTGAGTTTGTGATATCAAGCTACAAGATCACTGATCTCAAAAGATTTTAGTCTACTGGGTAAGAAAGACATAGAACAGACAATTTCACTACAATGCAGTAAATGCAATGATAGAGGTTTTTAATGGGTATTACAAACATTCGTTGCTATGGGAACATAGTAGAAAAGCAGTTAACCCAACAGCATCTGTGGGCTAGGGATGAGAAGAAAGGTCAATAAAAACTTACTATTTAGAGTCAAATGTAAAACTCACTATTTTATTTAATAAGTATTCGTTGAATGCTTAACTCATGGCAGCCATTGTACTAGATGCTGGGAACTGAAAGATGAAAGCCAAGCCCCTTCCGTCAAGAAACTCGTGGTCCAGTAGAGTAAACAAACAATTAGTATCCGGTAAGTTCTATGATAGGAGAGAAGCTGGAAGTGCTAAGAGGAGCAGAAATGAGGAGCAGTGTCTAAACTCGCCAGTCCTTAGCAGCACCTCAGCTGCACTCTGAAATCTTTTACGGATCTCGGGTCAGCTCCCTTTGCCATTCCCCACAGGAACTATTGCAAATCTTCATTCTCTTCATGCCGCTGACTTACTGCTACTCTCCTTGCCTCCTACTTCACGGAGAAGATGGAGATTCCCTCAGCTTCCCACACCCATGCCTTCCTACTTGTCTATGTCTGCTCACCCACAGCTTCTTTCCTCTGATCTTGAAAATGATGCCCGCTTTCTATTTAGTGCTAATCTTTCTACTGGGCTGTTGATCAATGACACCCATCTTCTTTACCTTCTCTACTGGCTCTCTCCCTCTCTGCAACTTTTTATTTTGAAAATTTAAAGACCCAGAATAGTGCGATATAGCATCTGTACACAACACCTAGATTCAATCATTTTTAACATTTTGCCCTTTGGTTATGTGTGTATTTGCTTTCAGTGTGTCTATATAGATGTGTATAGTTGTTTTTGCTGAACCATTTGAAGGTAAGCTGCAGATAGGACATTGTACCCATAAATACTTCAACATAGGACATTTCACCCATAAATACTTCAACATAAACTTCCTTAAAATAACGACTTTCTTCTACACAACTACTATTATCATCACACCAAAGAAAAATAACAGTAATTCTCCAATATCATCTAATAGTCCATATTCAGATTTTTCTACTTGTCCCTAAATTGTCATAACATTGTTGATGTTGTTTAACCAGGATTTCATTAAGTTTTATCCATGGTGTTTGGTTATGTCTGTGGTCTGTTTTTCTAGAACTGTACCTCTTATTCTCTGCCACATTGACTTTATGAAAAAATCAGATCCTTGGGGCCGCCCTGGTGGCATAGTGGTCAAGTTCACGTGCTCTGCTTCGGCGGCCCAGAATTCGCAGGTTCAGATCCCAGGCGCGGACCTACGCACTGCTTATCAAGCCATGCTGTGGCAGGCATCCCACGTATAAAGTAGAGGATGATGGGCACGGATGTTAGCCCAGGGCCAATCTTCCTAATCTTCCTCAGCAAAAACAGGAAGATTGGCGACAGATGTTAGCTCAGGGCTCAGGGCTAATCTTCCTCACAAAAAACAAAAATCAGACCATTGTTTTATAGAATGTGCCACATTTCAGATTAATGTATTTGCTTCTTTATAATATCAGTACCTTGTCTCTCTATCCCCCGGTATTTCCTGTAAATGAGGTCTAAAGATTTGATTAGATTCAGAGTTTTGGCAGAGATAGTTCATAGGTTATGTTGTGTACTTCATATTGTATCACATTAGGAGACACAATGTCAAATTGTTCCACTATTAGTGATGCTAAATTAAATTGCTTGGTTAACATGTTGCCCATCAGATCTCTCCATCGTAAAGGTATTTTTTTTTTTTTTTGCTTTTTATGATTAAAGAGTCAGCATAGTTACCTACCAGTGGTATTGAATGAGTTTTCTTTTCCTTCGCTCTATCACTGTGTACTCAATAATTTTTATTTTTTCAATGATTTGCAGTCAATTGCACTTTTTGATACTCCATGTAATACTCCTTGCTACCTCCCTGCTAGCTACTCTTGTTTGTAGCCAGACTCCTTGAAAAGGAGTCTTACATCATTCACTATTCAACCTGTTGCAATCTGTTCTCTCGCCCCCACCTCCAGTAGCTATAGTGTCAGTGGTTTTCTACCCCTCAAATCAAATGGATTTGTCATTCCATATTTTATTTGATCACTTTGCACTTCCTCTATGTCCAAGATACTATTCTCATGATTTCTGGTTTCTCTGTTTTTGCTTTGTTTTGCTCAGGGCTGCCTGCAGGGCAAATATTTTTTATAGGGCCCTTGTCTACATAAACAATTTGATTTTAAAATGTGTTACAAAATTCATGGGCCCACGTAAGGTGGCTTGTCAATGAAGATTTAGAATAATGGATAGAGAAAAAGTGCACGTTTATTGTCCAATTAGTGCTCGTAAAGATTCTTTATAGTATATGGGCACCATCTCTTCCTCAGTCCTAGGAAATAGTCTCTTCATGTTCTTTATTGTCAAATGTGCCATTCCTGGCTGATTTCATATCTCCCACTGTGATAAAAGAGTAGTAATGCTGTTATTATTCACAATGCTATGACTCTTTCGAACCTGTTTGTATTGACCTATACAGATCTTTCCTCTACAGTTTCCATTTATTTAATGCTGGTTATATCATTACTCATGATTCTGTGTCCATTGTGTGTGAGTACTGGCTTCCAGTGACTCAAAGTTTGTTACTGTGCTTCATTGGTGATTACCAAAAATGCAAGTCTTACCCAGAATATACAGGAAAATGTGAGTAATAATTTATTTTCTGGTCATATTATATTTGCCATTTGGACTTTTTTAGCGTAAACGTAGAACACATATTCCAACCATGTCTTCTCCTGAACTTTTTAGTCTATAATTACTGCATTCCTAGACTGTGATCTCTTGGCCACACCCAGGAAGAACAGACAAGAGGCCTATGAGTGGAGCAAAAAAAATGGTTTCATTTGTACAAGGAATGTCCATTTCTTCATCAACATGGCTTAAGCCCAAACCTGGAGAGCACAATGTCACTATCAACTGGAAACAAGAAAAGACATTGATTGAAGGGCCAATTGGCTTGGTGAAGCAACAGTCTTGAGAGATCTCAGATGAGATGGGCCTGGCCTAACAGGTTCTGCAGAACCTGCAGAATGGGGTAGGTTGACTTCCCTGGTGCCAATAACAGGAGGTGAACAGGCTAAGGAACAATGCCACCACCCTCACAAGCCTGGGGGTCTACAGCCCAGAGGCAGCACCACAGTTGGAACATAGACCAGTGAGAGCCAATGCACAGGCCCCCACACACAACACAATCCCAAGGTCAGTGGTGACCTTTGGTGACCTAGAACCCTAAATTCATCCTGTACCCAATATGAGAGTCACCTAAAAGCATGAAGTACCATTCTGGCAGACCAATCTCATACTGCTGTGTGAAAGAAATATTGCTTCAGCCAAGTGGGAATGGTCCACTCTTCAGACCCAGGGCAATTCCATAGGTGCAAGACCCAGAGCTCCTCAGGGCATTGGATCCACACCAAGCATGGGTTAGAGGGTTGGAGAGTGCCTCAAAGGGGAGAAACGGCACCTGTCCCAGGCACCAAAGCGAAACTTAGGAAATTTCAAGAGAGACTTCTGGCAACCAGGCCCCACATGGGACCTAATCCAGGCTCAGGGTGCCCTGCTTAGTCCCAGGAACTGGAAGAGGATTTAGGACATCTTGAAGAAGGCAATCTAAAGCACAAGTCTCCCTGAAGCATGGGGGCCTGGGGCTGGGTCCTTGCTTACTCTGGTCTCAGAGGTACTGTCTGATCATCTCCCCTTATTGTCTTGACCGCCTCCTTATTTGCCTGCCTTTTAAAAGATGCTGCCTCTTAGTATTCTATTATTGGCCCTTCTACATGTACTCTTTGGTTGAATTCATCCACTTATCTACAGTTACTACTCATAAACTGTTTAATCCGAAGTCTATCTTCTACCTAGACTTTCTCCTGAGACCAAACTTGTATGTTAGTGTTTTTTTTGTTTTGTTTTGTTTTGTTTTTTTGTGAGGAAGATCAGCCCTGAGCTAACATCCGTGCTAATCCTCCTCTTTTTGCTGAGGAAAACCGGCTCTGAGCTAACATCTACTGCCAATCCTCCTCCTTTTTTTTTTCCCCAAAGTCCCAGTAGATAGTTGTATGTCATAGTTGCACATCCTTTTAGTTGCTGTATGTGGGATGCGGCCTCAGCATGGCCGGAGAAGCGGTGCGTCAGTGCCCGCCTGGGATCCGAACCCGAGCTGCCAGTAGCGGAGCGTGCGCACTTAACCACTAAGCCACGGGGCCGGCCCTGTTAGTGTTTTTGTTATCATTCAATTTAAAATGTTTTATAATTTCCATGTGGTTTCTTTGACCCATGAGTTTTTTACAAATGTGTTTCTTAATTTCCAAACATAAAGGATTTTTTTAGCCATCTCTTTGTGAGTCATTTCTACCTAAACTACATTGTGGTGAGAAAACTTATTCTATGTTATCTCAATCCTTTGAAATTTGTTGAGACTTCTTTTGTGGCCCAGTGTATAGTCAGTTTTTGTAAATGTTCCATGTGGGCTTGCAAAGAACATGTATTCTGCAGTTGTTGGGCA